AAATCAAACGGCCTATACGATAGATAAACTTTATTTAGTACATCGGATAACCTAGATAATTTTAAATTTAAATCAACTTGCTTGTTGACAGATACGAATCGAAATGAATTACGAACTTTTGACGCAAGGCAAAATAACGAAAACGGTTCCAACCGTTACAATGTTTGGGTTTAAATACCGAAAACGGTTCCAACCGTTACAGTGCTTAGCTTACCGCCGCTATGTTTAATTTTTTTAAATGGCAACGTAGGTCGATTGGTGGAATATAATATAATTGTTTTTCACTACGTTATATACAAATAGTACATTTGTAGCAAGTCACAAATAAATAAAATATGTTCCTAGAACAAAATAATATAAAAAACAAAGTACAAAATATTAGACAGATATAAAGAGAGTAATAAACAATAATATAATTAACATAACTTATATGTACAATTTAAATTTTGAAAATGGTCTGTTTATTCACTGACTGAATAAAAGCACATTTCAAGCAGAAATATTATATAAGTTAAAGTTTAGTGAATTTTTTTGCGATTTAGATAATCGAAATCAGACTGCTTCAGTAGATTTGCACTATTTTTGTGAATTTCGAGAACTGTATTAAAAATAAGTAGTGATTGTAGTGTCATATTAATAAAAAGAGTGATTGACAGTGCTCACGGTACCCAACATTCGCTAAGATAGTAATGGATAATTCCGTAACATCTGAAAATGTAAAAATGAAAAATATACCACTTTTAAAACATCGAAAATTGGTAAATGAGGCCAAACTCCGAAGTAAACACAACAAACTAGACAATCTTTTAGCAATCATATCGATATGGCAGGTCCATGAAAGATTAATATTAAGTTTTATTCCTAACAGTTTGACACTGTCAAGTTCCGATGATAAACTACCAGATCCAAAATTAAGGTTTTGAGTTTTTGTATCATTTAGCATAAGCTTATGTGCACCGAACCTTTTTTTTAACAATTCAATACTACCCTCAGTAGAATTTGATAGAATAAATTGATCTTTTCCAGTTGAGATAGATGTCGTATCGTCGGCAAAAAGAATAGGTTTGCAAGGGTTAATTAGATCGTTGATGTATATAATAAACAGTAGAAGCCCAAGAACAGAACCTTGTGGCACTTCATGAGTAATCATTTTAAGCTTACGTGAGGTATTACTAAAATATAGAGCCTGCGATCTATTTTTCAGATAAGAAAAATGAGTGACAGGGGTACACCTCTAATTTCATAATAATTTAGTTTTTCCAACAGAATGTCGTGAGAGAAACAGTCGAAGGTCCTCGAAAGATCACATAGTATAATCGCAGTGTGTTCGCCTTTTTTTAGGCCCTCAGCTATGCCACTAATAACTTTGAGAACTGCTTGAATGGTGGACTGTTCATTACGGAAACCATATTGTTATTCGCAAAAGAAATTATTTTTATTAAGGTTATCATTGAGCCTCTGCTTCATAACCTTTTCTACTACTTTACCGAAAACGCTGGTTATAAAAATTGGCCTATTGTTATTAGGAGCAGAGCTATCTCCTTTTTTTAGAAGCGGAATAACTTTTGAATATTTGAAAACATCTGGAAATATTCCAGTTCTTAAGATTACGTTTACAAGATTAGTTAGTGGTACAAAAATTATTTCTGTTTTTTTATAATTCGACTATTTATCTCATAAGTATCCATACAATTTGAGTCTTTTAAGGCATTAATCGCTTTCAAAATCTCCAATTTAGTTGCTGAGTACAAAAAAAAGAACTACACGGACAGGATAATTTTTGAAGTTAAGTAAAACAATATTTGAGGCAGTAGGAAGAGACTGTATTACATTGTCAGCCACGCTTGTATCTGTATCTGTAATGTGTGGAGGGTGGGTTACCCCACGGCACATAGGCCTTATTAGGCCCATTGTGCATCCTCCTGAGAAGATAGACACCTCCTAGCTCGTGAGCCAGCCTACAAATTTAATGTAGTTGACAACGTCGCCAAGAGGTGCTTCTCTTATATCGGCCGGTGTTAGCTAATACTCGCCAAACACAAATCTTCTAATAAATGAGAGCGTCGATGGTCTAATCTTCTTGTTCGCACCTTCTGCAGAGTGCGAATTCTGACAGCCCCATGCTATAGAGATGCTTTCGTACTTGGCAATGACCAGTTAGAATGCCTGTGACTAGACGCAGATTCTGTCTAGTCATAGTCAAGTATTTGTTTGCTACAGTGTTGTCAGGAAAACTTAAGAGCTCCCTGTCAACTCTGCAGTTACTTGTTTCATCCCATCTTTCCTTGAATTTCACAAGGGAATGTTCTTTGATTAGGTCTGTCACTACCGATTTTCTCAGGCCAATAGAAGGGCCAGGTCGAAAAAGTATTTGGCTGGCTGCTTTCTTGGCTAGTGAATCAGCAAGACGGTTACCTTTCGATGTGGCGTGACCTTTAATCCATCTTAAGGTGACCACATTGTTGATGGATACTTCGGCCAAAGCTTCGTGACATTCTAGTATTAACCCCGAATAAATTCCTGGTCTGTTCAGGGTGAGTAGTGCTTGTCTGCTATCTGTATAGATGAGCATGTTCCTTCCAGTGACGCTTGTAAAAAAATCATTGAAATTTTCTGATGATATGTTTGTGAAATTGGAACTAGTTTGACTATGATTTCTTTTAAAATTATGTATTTTTTAAAAAGCTTTGGATGCAAATATAAAATTGTCGTATGCTGATTTTTACTAATTTTTATGACTACTATAATGTTTTTTATATGCTTTAAAAGCATCAAAAGCCTGTTGGTCTCTAGTCGAATCCGCTAGTATTTTAAGATTAGCTAAAGTACCTACATCTCATTTCTTTAACATGTTCATTAAACCAAGAAACAGGGGATTTTTGTAGACTTTTTTTGTATTAAATTTCGGTGTCAACAATGAAAGATTCAACCAAATTCACATTACTAGAATGAATGTCTCTATGCCAATAAAAATGGATCAATTTACTTCTTTTTCTCATCATATTTCTACGTTTAGTTTTTGACCAGCCTCAAGTTTTATTTTTCTTTCTTTTTAAATTTCGCCATTTAGTGTTAGTAAATTATTTAAAAACACCCACGGAAATTCTAAAAGGCTACAACGCGAATGTTGTACAAAATGCAACTACTTCTTTAATCGTAGGTATTTTTAAAAATGATATCAGAAGAGTTTACTATTATAGTATATTTTAATAATGTACATATTATGAATTTCAGTGACACCCTATATATTCAACAATTATGAACGATTTTATTAAAACCTTACACGTATTTGCATTACCTTATATGCATTACTGAAATTCTAGATACTCCATAAATAGAAGTACTTTTTATAATTATTAATTATTATTACTTAATTTCAGTACGCACTCAATTATTTGATTAAAAACTTGCAGTTATTTACTACACTGACTGGTTATAGGTAAATTCATTTTATTCCTTCAACACGGTATGTAAAAACCTCATTAGTGGTTACGGTCCTGTTTTTCTTTCAAACAAAATATTTTACAAATTGATTGTACTGATCGAATACAAATTATTTTGAACAGGTGTGTTGACAGTGAGTTGCAATATATCTTACTAATTATTATTGCCTTATTTTATAACTTCGTTATCTGAATCAAAAGTCCTACGTAATTGGCAACTAGAATAATATATTACATCTAAAAAATCAATTGGGCGTTTTTAATTAAAAAAGAAGTAATAAAGTATTTCGTCTCTCATTAGTAGGGCAAAATGGCGTTATTATTTGACTGAAAACGAATTATTAAATAGATAAAAGAACAAATAAATACTGATAATTATTCAACATCAGTAAGTAAATGGCAGTAATTAAATGTCAGTAATTAAATGTCAGTAATTAAATGTCAGTAATTAAATGTCAGTATTTAAATGTTAGTAATTAAATGTCAGTAAATAAATACCAGTAGTTAAATGTCTGTAATTAAATGCCAGTAATTAAATGTTAGTAATTAAATGTTAGTAATTAAATGTCAGTAATGAAATGTTATTAATTAAATGTTAGTAATTAAATGTCAGTAATTAAATGTCAGTAATTAAATGTCAGTAATTAAATGTCAGTAATTAAATGTCAGTAATTAAATGTCAGTAATTAAATGTTAGTAATTAAATATCAACTCGGTAGCGAAGTATGTTAGAGCAATATGTATTCATTTACGGGCCTTTCAGTGGTTAATGAAATACGGCTGCGAATCCTAGGGCATACCATGCGAATTTTTAATTAATGTGCATAACTTGTTTTAGGATTTGTTGGGTGTCGTATTAGTAGTAATTTAATTTCTGCTAATATAGCATCCAGACTACAAATCGCAGTGCGTTACTGTTTCGATAATGGTGGTGGGTTAGGTTTTCCGAACTTTTCTCGCCTGTAATAAGAATCATGATTTTTTTTCGTTTTGGGGCCCGCTGAATCCGTTTTGACTATTTTCGCGATGATGTCTCTGTGTGTGTATAGGTAGATTACCCCCACGGTACTTAGGCCTCACTAGACCCATTGTGCATCCTCCTATGATGATGGGCACCTCTTAGCTCGTGAGCCAGCCTACAAATTTAATGTAGTTGACAACGTCGCCAAGAGATGCTTTTCTTATGTCGGCCTTTGTTATCCGATACTCGCCAAACACAAATCTTCTAATAAATGAGAGCACCCAGCAATCGTAGAGGATATGCTCAATGGTCTTATCTTCTTGTTCGATAATTAAAAATTACCTGGGGTTTGTAGTGCCTCAATATATGGTTTGTTTGGAGTAGTAAAAATAATAAAACGGGCCTATCCTTTGTTGTTTATTTTCCAATTTTATAGGATAGAATAAACCGATTCTTAATCGTTCTAACACTAGTCAAGTAAATTCTAGCAGAAGAAGTACTTATTTTAAAATAACTACGATACTGAACACTATTGCGCAAAATACGACTTGCACTTTTCCTGTTTTTTTATAATAATTGCTTTTTCTTTGTTACAGTTGATTCAAATGGTGAACCACCAAAACTGAAATGTAATTTACGGAAGCATAAACCAAATAGAAAACCTAGGACTCCGTTCACTACCCAACAGTTACTAGCTTTAGAAAAAAAATTCCGTGACAAGCAGTACCTTAGTATAGCAGAAAGAGCAGAATTTTCTAGTTCGCTAAGGCTTACTGAAACCCAAGTAAGTTTTATTTTGAATAGTCGATATTTACTGTGCAACTCGATTAATTTATCAATGAACCTTAAAATATAAAATTCATTGTTATTAGCTAATACTAACAAACATTTGCACATTGATAAATTTTTGAACTGTTAATAACTTTCTCAAGCTCTGTTAAAATAACTTTTTGTATAAATTTAGGAGGCATAAAAGGCATTACTTACCAATGCTGTACGCCACTGGAAAAGTTAATTTATGTAACTAATTTTAGTTCTGACAGGATATTTTAACACCAAAAACGTTTGCCAGAAATAATAAAAAAATATAGCCATAAATAATTTTTGGATTTTAAAATTTTAACACCGTATTTCGAAAACGAGAAACATTTTATCTAAGCATGCTTCGTTTAGTTGTCATATTTTTATCAGAGAATCTTCAGTTGTTCTATGTCCCATTTTTAACGAAACACCATGTATAATAGGTCCCTACTTAATGATACCAAGACCTTTAACTGGACACCAAGCCCGTAGCTAGGTTGTTTTCTTGGAAGGTAACACTATTTACATTATTGGTGAATGCGCAGCGTGTTATATTAAAATATGGTAACAATGCAAAATGCAACGTCTAGAGTTCATATGTGTATTTCCAGAAAAAAGATGTATGAGTTTTATAATCAAGTTGTTTTTAAATTTTTATTTATATCCCAAAATTAGACGGTCATATTTTAACAGCGTAATCTACATCCTAAAATAGGAGTAAAATTTCATATAAACATAGGTCCGAAAATGTTTCTTTTCCGAGATACAGGGTGTTAAAAGTGAAGTCCTGATGACACACTTTTGTAAATATTTTCTAAACGTTTAAAGATAACTAAGTGAAATTTGGTTAAAATGCTAACCTTTTTACGCTCTATTTAATGGACTATACCCCAGTTTTTGATCATCTTCATAGGTGGGTAAATTATGGGGGGCTTAGGGTAAAATTGCCCTAAGTTTTTTGTTGACAGTTTTTAAAATTTTTGACTATAAAATTTTTAAAACCAATATTTTCTTTATAATAAAGCAACTTTTGTTGGATCTCGCTAGGACGCACCATTTTCAAGAAAAAAGCATTTGAAAATTTCATGATAAGTAATGTTATCTTATTCGAGTGTGAACAATAATTAGTAGGCCTGTGGAATCAGAAATTTAACTATTTTTAACTTTGGAAAACTAGTGACTAAAGAAATTTTAGAAAATATTTACAAAAATGTGCTATTTGGACTTCACTTGTAACACCCTGTAACTTGAAAACGAAACGTTTTCGGACCTACGTTTACATGAACCTTTACTCCTATTTTATGATGTAGATTACGCTGTTAAATTATGACCGTCTAATTTCAGGGCACCCTGTATACAGGGTGTTTCAGAATGGGGTACCGTAATTTTTGAAATTTGTAGATCTTAACTAATTATAAAGAAAAGCTAAACATAATTTTCCTATAAACGTCTCAGTTTTCAATCTGCAGGGTGATAAAGTGAATTTCATAAATGCATAATTTTCTAAATAACTTCCGTTACCGTAAAAACTTTAACTTAAAAATATGAATATGTCAGTTAATCATTATTATTATTTAACACACTCTATTTCGATAAATTTGTTTTTGTAGAACTAAAACTAAAACACCTCGGAAATGAAATGTTCTACAGGTTTCAACAGAGTGTCCCTTTTTTGTGAAAAATTGCATGAGGAATAATTATTAATCTTAACTTTTGTGAAATATAGGGTGTTTTCTTAGCATTTGATTTTACGCCAATCGATTATCGTAAATTATCGAAATATATATAGTATATTAACTAATAATGATGATTAACTAACATATACATATTTTTAAGTAAAAGTCTTTAACGTAGAGTCCCCAATTTACGGTAATTTATTCTTTTACAGAATTTACAGAAATATTTTTATTTTAGATGACAATGTTTGAGAAACTCTTTGTTTTATTGTATTTATTTATCTTTCTATTTTTGTTTAATATAAATGTTAAATAATGATGTTGAACTATCGCTTGGGGGTAATTACCCCCATAACCCCCTTATTTACGCCCTTGCTGGACACAACGAAGAACGACTAAGTAAATATATCGATATCCCGAATCTAAATCAAAAACTGTTATTTACCTGATACCTGAAAAATATTTTTCAAGGTCAAGAATCTCGTTTGTTTATCGCGCTGTGGATGAAGTTATTATTACAGTAACCGTTTAACTGCGCTAACAGTAACCGTTTGACTGCGTAGTGTTGTCATGTCGATTAGATATCCAAAGTGGACCGGATAAATAATAAATTGAATTATTACTTCATCTGTTGAGCAAAAGAACTATTAAATATGGAATATTGCTACATCTGTTGAACAAAAGGATTCTTAAATATTACACATACATGACATCTATCAAAATTAGTTAATGATACGAATATTGGAGTGTGCTACTGTGGCCATGATATCAGTACAATTTATAAATTACCTTTTACTAATATTTTTTTTTATTTTAAGAATATTATTATTATTATTATTATGACAAGAATATTCTTTACTAAAAATCAATCATTTTGTTAAAATATTAGATAAATATGTAAAATAAACAGTAGTTTATATAAAGTTAACAAATTTTAATATAGTTGAACAGAAAAATACAATATGTTTCGGTATTAAAATGATTGTCAATAATGACAGAAATTTGCTACTCGTATCATCTCAAAGAAAACTAAATTAACAAAAGAGATTCATAAAGTTTGTTAATGGAGTATATTTAATTTTTGGATTGTATCTATTTTTCTACTTTATTGTTACACATTTTTTATTTCTATTTCAGGTGAAAATCTGGTTTCAAAATCGTCGAGCTAAAGCGAAACGTCTTCAAGAGGCAGAACTGGAAAAATTAAAAATGGCTTCTCTTTCTCGCCACCCCCATGCTCTGTACCCCCATCCCGCCCTACAGGGCTACTTTTCCCCAGGGACGCACCCTCTGGCGTCTCTACTGGGTGCCAGACCACCGATGGGCCCCTTCGGACTCAATCCCCAGCATCCGCCCCCCCACATGGCGTCTCCACAGGGGAATATCAGGTCGCCGAGCCCGCATATGAACTAAGAAAATGTAGGGTAGTAGTGAGAAAAATGTTTTGAGTGCTCATTCTCATGATATATAATTATTTTGTTCATTCAATGTTCTTCCTTATAGACGTTTGTGTAAACAAATCAAATATGAATATGATTTATAATGCGGGAAAATTTATAATTGTGGCAACAAAAAGGTCTAAATGTAGATATTTTGTTGGCCTATTACCTAATTTTTTAATTAATGTTACCTCTATTTCGTGTGATTTTAGTTTAATATTATCTGTTTGTTTTTCATCAATTAAATTAAAACTCTTGTTATTGTAGGCATTACAATTTTATGTTGGTATAATTATTAATGACTTTTTACTTTCATTCACATCATAAAACTAAATCGAAGAATATGAGAATTTATTGATAAATTTTGTGGCATAAAACAAGACTGTGGAATTGTATAAATCATGGTATACATGATTTCCACTTTTTAATTTAAATGTGTTACTATCGTTAGTAATACAAAGTTGGTTAAATGAAAAAGTGTTGTTGTTGTGAAATCCAAAATATCAAGGTGGTTTCTGAGATGTTCTACAAAATACAGTTTAGTCCAATTTTTTATTTCACTTCAGTGGAAAATTTCGTAAGTATATCGCCATCATTAATTTATTTATTTGAATACGGAACTGCATTATTCCAATATATCATTTTAGTATATGCTCAGTGGCGCATACAGGTAATAACATATAATAATTAATCATTATTTCAAAAGATTAAAAGTAATATAACGATGTTGAATTATTGGAAAAAAGTAGCTAGGTACATTTTAAAATTATCTTAAGGTAAATGTTAATTTTACTGGTAATTACAAAAATAATTTAATAAAAAAAAACAACAGTAACTACCAGAAAAAAAATAGTTGCTAAAAATGTCCTGCTTCTTCTCGAATACAATATCCAATATTGTCCCCCGCTTGAGCTATACTGGCAGATACCATATATCTGAAGTTATAAAATTAAACCAATTATTAATTTTCGTACAGCATTGCCAATTTGGATTATTTGGAATAGGGTGAAGTATGGTATGTTCGTGATGATTATAGTTTAGTCGTTTGAAAGTAATGAAAATAGCATGCGTTTTTGCTATAATTGTAAGGGAGCTAAGACCTTACCGTTTGGCTTTAGATTTTGGTATTTTTTTATTAAAAAACTTAGAAACTCACTAAAAAAAAGTTTTAAAATAACATAGTCAAGGAAAGGTAATTTCGTGATAGGATATCTTATTTCGTGATATGGGGTAGGTATATTTGTGACAACAGTTAGTGCTAAAAATTGTAAGATACGGTTTTATTATCGGTTACAAGTTACAATGTATCACTTTATGCGTAAAGTTTTAATCTAAGTCATCGCTGCTAGTACCAGCGCAACTATCGCACATAAAAACAGTATGTTTCTCGGATGCTTGACATTTAAAGTGATATGGTACTAAACAGTAGGAACACTGTATCCACCATGCTCCATTCTTCTTCTTACAATCTTCCAAGTAACTTCCTTCTCAAACACCACACCTCCAGTCATCCACATTGTCATTCTGCTGTTGGGGAACTTTCTTTTCAGAAATAGTCTTGGCTTTGAAAGTAGACGACTGAGTCTTGACGTTCATTGCAGATTTTTCTTTGACTTTAGAGCTATTAGTACCTGACGTAGAAGGTTCGTTTAGTGAGGAAACATCATCAAAATCATTGGGACATTTAGCTTTCGAATCCCGTTTCCTTTGGTTTGCTTTGGCAGGAACATCGGATGCACTGGGTGCCACTGGTAGAGACAATAACTGCTTCTGATCAGTTGCAGTGGCTGGCTCAGTTTCATCTGCAAAAACTGGTCTTGAGGAGCTGATTTATTGGTAAGTATAGACGGAGCAACAGCCTCTCTAGGAATAGCGTCTTTGTCAAATGGACACGCCCCAGTTTTTCGAAAAGCATTTGTGATATTGGAACGACAAAAACTTGCGACAAATGTTGGATTTAACAGAGAGTGAAAATTTTGCCTGTTGGGTTTTTCTGTAGGATGTTCTCTCATAAAATCGTTTAAATTCTTAGACCAATTGGTCTTAAGAGATTTATACACGCCCGCATCTAGGGGTTGAAGCAAATGAGATGTGTGCGCCGGAAAAGTAAATAAATAAATGTGATTCTCTTTAGCTAGAGAAATTACTGTGGCATTTATATGAGAGGCATGAGAATCCATCAGAAGGATAACAGGACGAGCTGGAGGAATTGGTTTAATAAAGAATTGGAACTACTCCAGAAATAAATCAGTGTTGATCCAACCCTTAGGAGACAGTTTAACTAGTGTACCAGGAAGACAGTCTGATTTTAAATTATTATTCCAGCGAATTCCTTTAAAAATAATTAGGAAAGGAATCCATGTCCCGTCAGCACAGATACAACCAAGAAGTGTATGTGACTCACCCCTATCAGCATATGTTCTCTTGTAAATGTATCGTTTTCCAATAGACGTTACAACTATATTCTACTCGGCATGTTCTTCATGTTTAGCTTCTCCATGAGTGCTTCTAGTTTTACGAAGTAGTCCTGTATTATCTCTGGATTACCCATAGAGGCACGACAAGCTGCGAGATTTTCTGGAACGCCTAAAGCAAGATTGTACCTCTTCTTGAATTGTGACCACCACCATTTACTTGCAGAATTGTTACCTTCCTTGAAAAAATTTTCTCTACCAGATTCTTTTGCCAATTCGAAAGCTGTTTTTTTTACCATTTCAACTGTTAGACCAAAACCTAGTTCCTGCATCTTGATAATATAATTGAATAGTTTCGTTTCAATTTCTGGAGTCAGTGCATATGGCCTTCCTATTTGTTGCTAGTTGTCTTGGTTTTTTGACAAAAAATCTTTCAGCGTACTCCATGGTATCCCAGTCTTTTTGCTTGCTCTATAGATTGTCATGTTTGTTTCCTCTACTGACCTACCAGCTTCTATTAAATCAGATATTTCATAACTGCGATATTTTCTTTTTTTGTCTTCCATGTTAAAGCTGAAATTACAAACAATAGGTAAATTCGTGATAATAGGTAAGTTCGTGATATGTTCAATAACGTTCTTTTTTACATACGGTTCGTAGTAAATCATAAAAATAAAACATTCTTAGAATATGGGGTAATTTTACTGCGTGCGAAAAAATTTAACAACCCTAGCATTTTAACATCTTCAGCACATGTAAAAAAAACGTGAGAAATTAGCTCCACGGAATAAGCAATTACGGTAAAACTAAGTTAAAATTTGTAAATCGCATTTGACAGGAAGATTTCCCATTTCAGACACTATAATTGGTATAAATTTCATAAGCCTGCCTTTCGGTAATTCCTTTTGAAACAGCAGATCTCTTTCTAGTTGAAAAACCCGCGAAAAATTACGACGTAATACGCACCACATGTAAACAAAGTTTTCTAATGACTGATATGTTCGTGATATCCAAATGCGATAGGTTGCGCAATCTAGTAGCATCATACACCTTTCACTAGCCAAGGATTCATCCACCTAAAGCAATAGCTGTGCTGACAAATTTTTATAATTCTATCACGAACTTACCTATGTCACGAAATTACCTTACTTCACCCCATAATAATAAATTATATTTTTGAGATATCCCAATACAAAATTATCGACATGATTTAAGCAGGCTGACCTAGGCAGCCATCGAATAGGTCCGTATATACCAAACCACATCCTAGGAAATTGAGTGTTTATACATTTATTGATTAATACAGAAATACTATACAGTATGTCTCATACAAAAATGGCAGAAGAACGGTACATAAAAGCGATGGCTTTGATTAGATATAGGTAGAACAGTGCGCGCCAGCCCACAAGTGGTAGAGCGTATCCATCTGTCCAATCACGAGCGTCTCTCCTTATTTTTCTCACGTGCAAATATAATTAAGCGTCTCATCTTTATTTTGAAGGATTTTTGGGTTAACATATTATATGTCCCACAGTTATAATATAATAAATGTTATTGAAGATTAAAATCATTAAATTGGCATTTTTATAATTAAGATAGATAATACAGAATTTACTAATCTAAACATGTTTGACATGACAAAATATAGACCCGTACTAGTAAACTTACGTGATGAAGGTTCAAATCTGCTGAAATGTTGACTATTTCTCCCTTTTTTTTAATAAATACGCTATTATAAGCTCAATTTCATTTTTAACGAAAATAATTTGTATCTATTCTTCAAAATAAACGGACTGAAGTGGAGTAAACAAATTGGACTATATTGTTTTTTGTCGAATATAATTATCAGAAACTGATTTTGATATTTTGAATTACAACTAAATTGATGATTGCAAACGCAAAACAGAGAAGACGATAGAAATATTACCGAATTATAATAATACTCAAAAATAACAACCAACGACGAAAACCTACTAGACTAGTCCATTCAATAGTAATAATGCTTTTATTCATTGCAAGCATTTAAATAATTGTGGTTTATATTAGGCAGATAGAGCTATCGCATCGGTTGCCACATAATAAAGAACGAGAGGGCTGCTAAATTGGGTGGTGATGGTTTGTGCGAGTTTGTTTTTCCGAAGTGCACGTTTGATGAAAGAACCTCGTACTACTATAATTCCTGCTTTATACCGTTGCCAGGCTGTAAATAAATGGTGTACTTTCCTGTAAATCACCTTCAGCTACCAGTAAAGAATATAAAACATAAAAAACTGACACTAAGAAAGCAAATATACTTACTTAATAGACCATTTAAACCATTTTGTATTTTTTAGTGCCTTAGGTTAAGCATATTCCGAATTATACGCATAAACAATTCATGTAACAACACTTTTCCTTACTCACCCATAATAATATGTGGATAACACCATGAATGCTCAAAATTCGATTTTTGTAAACAAAATTAGTCTAGTAGTTGTTCGTTGTTGGTAACAAATTATGAATACTTACAGACAAAGTATGATTGGATACAAAATAGTTAAACAGGGCAAATTAGTCAACCAATATATTATAACTATGTACTCCCTAAATAAAACAATGTAGGGACATAAAGATATTGATACAGACACAAAACTGATAATTCACAATATAATTACAGTACCAACAATAACTTATTCTAGCTAAAACTGTGTACTTTAGAAAAAATGTGAGACAAAAATAAATATAATGAAAATGAAACATTTTAGGAAAGAAGCGGGAAAAACTAAATGGGAGAGTGTAAGGAAAGAAAATACAAGGAGAATTACTAAACAGGAACAAATAGTGAGAAAGTTTAAAACAAACAAACTGATATAGTTCTACCCAATAAAGAACGAAACTAGATAAAATATTGAAATAAATAATTAAATTAGGAAAATCAAGAAAATGGCAATGAGGAAGTCACAGGAAGAAATGGATTGACGAGACTGAAAAGATCGGATTGATAAAAGGAAAAAACTGAAAGAGATGAAAATACTAGTCAGGAAAAAAAAGAATGGAGGGAATGGATCCAGGAAGAGAATAGATCCATGGCGAGGCCTAATAAGGCAGAAAGATATGAGATAAAAAGAGAGAGTATGGAATACATATTTAGATTACACTTGAAAATTACAACTGT